CAGATCCTCTTTTGTTGCCAGTTCAGAGAGTCCAGGTGGTTGAGTATCAGATTGTTCCATCTCGTTTCCCTTTGGGGTTGCTGTAGGTAATCCAGAAGTCTGTTTTTGAGGCTTGGTTATGTGTCTTCTCATTACCACGGCCGGGGGTGGGGGGGCAGTGTGTGGGTGTGTTTCTGCCCCCCGCCCCCAGCAGCTCACCTTCTCTGCCCTAGGAGCTTGGGATGGCAGTGGGAGAGCTTCCTTCCGGGTTCTGGGACTGGCTCAGCTTCTCTGCCCTAGGAGCTTAGAATGGCGGTGGGGAAGTTTCCTTAAGTGTGCAAATCTTAAAGGTTTTCTTGGCATAGTGATCTCCCCCTGAGTTGTCATCAGGTTATTTTTGGGTTTTGTTAGCTAAATAAATGTGTGGAGCCACACTTAACTCCCTGAATTACAGTTACTGGTTAACGTTTATTTCTGTCTCTGTGATTGCCTTAAAATGAGCATAATAATGGAACTACTGTAGGGCTTTTGTGAGAGTTACATGGGTGCGGTACCTCACAGTAAGTGTTCAACAGATATTAACTTACACTTTTCTTGTTTTATCCCAGAATATACATGGCAGAGCGCCCCACACCCAGTAGCAGGTTTACTGAATGAGTATCTGATTATGTCCTACTACCCTTTTTTTAAATTGTGGTTAAAAAAATAACAAGGTACTGTCACAACTATGTTTAAGTGTATGGTTCAGTAGTGTTCACTTCGTTCATGTCATTGTTTGCCAGCTCTAAATTTTATTTTGCAAAACAGAAGCTACATTTATTGACCAACTCCCCATCTCCCCCCTCCCCCTCATGCTGTCTTTTAACTCTATTCCATTGAGTACCTGCTTTGGGTCAGGCATTGTACTGGATCTACAGAATTATGCAAGGCAGAGCAGGGTCATGATGTGAGAACCTGGAGGAGCACTACAAAGACAGTAAAACTACTTGAGTTTCATTGATTCTAAGAGGTGCGTTTTCTTACATTTAAAACCAGAAATTGGAATACATTTATAATCAATTGCTCTTATCCTGGATCCTTCCAGAGAAGGCTTACTTTAGCCTCTGCCATCTCTTGAGCAGATTTTGAATCTGAAATCTTTTAAAATTCTTTGCTTGAGATTTTCCCCTGCCTCCTTCCAAGTAGTGTGAATTCAGACAGCAATGCTGCAAAACTAAATTAGCTTCAAGTTCAAATTCTCAGAGAAACTTTTTGGTTTTTTTCTTCCTCGAAGATGCATGCAAGCCTCCCAACTGTTCCTTTCTTGTTTTTTGTTTGGCTTGTGCTGTTTCTCTTTGATACATATCCCAGCTTTGACTTGGGTCTCTTTTAATAGGTCCCCAGTCTATGAGTTGTTTATTTTCATTCTCAGACATATATAAAACTATGGGGCATCTTAGATTTATTAAATACAGCAGCAGTTCATTAGTTCGTGGCAGAGGTAAAGTACTCAGATTCTATAAGGAAATGGACTTTAGTTCTATGTTGTAATTCCATAAGCCCTAACTGCTCCTAAGCTGGGATGGATCGTGGGCACAACCCATCCCAGCACTCCCTCTAATTCAACCCAAGCATCTCTGCTGTTGTGTTTTGTGTTACTAGGTTACTACCTAGCGGGCTTCATTTGAAAAGAAGAAAAAAATCTACTTTAAAAAAGTTTGAAACCACTACCCTATGAACATGTACTAGTTTCCCACTTGGATAAATAGGGTAGTTGCAGAGTTAGAATTTAATTCCCCTTCCCCACTCAACAAGCAGAACTGAGAATCTTTTAAACATTGGATCTGGTTATAGCAGGGCGACTAACTTTGTTTCTTTAACATAGCCTCCCTGGGACTCAGGTTCACCACTGAGGAAATTACACAGATGAATTGGTTGGTCCTTCTAGTTGCTTGAAATCCCACTACAAATTTCTAGGACATAGCACACTAGGTACTTAAATGTTGGTAATGGTAGTTGAACTGAATCTCTAGTGACAAAGATAAGGTTTCCTGCCAGTCTGGTAGGTTTTCACTCATATCATATAAAGCTGACTCTTTGAAGGGAAAAGCACCTGATGTAGCACAGGCATCTCTTAAGAAACATATTGAATGAGTTATTTTTTTGTGTGTGTTTAATAGGCATGTTGACAGCTTAGATCTAATTTTGCTTCCCCTATGTTTTTGTTGTAGGGAAGCAGAAATGAGAAACAGTATCTTAGCGCAAGTTCTGGATCAGTCAGCCCGGGCCAGGTGTAAGCATCTTCAAATTCCTCTAAGTTATTTCCATAAAATGGGCTTGAGTTGGTTGGGAAGAATACAGTTATTACTATCTATAGATTAAATATTTGTTTAACCTAAAAACACTTGAGATACACATTACCTGTAAGAAATGTGGAGTTTATAAACTCAGAGAAGTATGTTTAAGTCATTATTAAAATTGCCAGCTTAGTTCTCTTCTTACCAAGATATTCTCCCCTAGGGCATTCCGGTAAAATTTATAGGGAACCACTCTTAAAAGAGAGTCACTACATTGCTGGTAGTTGACATGGGTGATGAGGACTTGGGGATTGATTATATTGTTTTAGTGTTGAGTTCAGTTTTCCATTTTAAAAAAAGGCAAAGTGGGCCGGGGATTTAGCTCAGTGGTTCCACCATCTTCCTTGCAAGCACAAGGTCCCGAGTTCAATCTCCGGTACCAAAAAAATTTAAAAAGGCAAAGTGTAGAAAGAAAAATATTAAAATGAGCCAGTCAGCATAAACTCTTCTCTTGTAACTTGAAGCCCATTTGAGTTGAGAAGATGCACTGTGGATAAAGTCTTTTCAGAAGGCAATCATACATTTTAAGAAAGAGGGAAGTATGGGGTTTAGAACCTGAGAACCCAAGTTTAATCTGGGCTCAACAACACTTCTGTGTAACTCTGCCTGACACTGAGATGGCTCAATTTTGGTTTTCTCATTTGTAAGAGGGGTGGTAGTACCATCTGGCCTACCCGCTATCCTGGTTGAGAGCCGTAGACAAACAAGCTTGAGAAGTGCTTTGGAAATGCCAGTGCTTAATTTTAAAGGATAAGCACATTTAGTTTTGATACCTTTTTGCACATGTATTTTTTCTTTCTTTTTAGTAAGTAACTTAGCACTTGTAAAGCCTGAAAAAACGAAAGCAGTAGAGAATTACCTTATACAGATGGCAAAGTATGGACAGCTAAGTGGGAAGGTAAGCTTGGGCTGCCTTGAGAGAACTTCATTGTTACCTACTTTTTACCATGACATGGCTTCACCAGGCCAAATCATATCTCATTACACAATAGTTGTCTCTTTGAAGAAATTTTTAAAGGAGAAAAAAGTTATAATGTACCATAAATTCTACAGGATAATTGCCTTTCCTAAAATGCTCTGTTCTGTCCTGGCATTGCTGTGAAACCTCGTTGGTGTCTCAGACCCAGTGACTACAGTATTACAATCAGATGGCTTAAATTGTTCGTGCACTGGAAACAAAGATTACCAGTAGTACCAATTAAAATTCTACCAGTCTAGTAGAAATTAGGCTTGTTTTGCAAATGAGGCACTAAAATCCTTTCATTATTAGGTGTGTAATGCCCTTAGGGGGGTAGTATTCTGGCAAGCTCACCCTTCCTTTAACATCAGGCCTGGGTGGAGGATTTAGCTCAGTGGTTGTGTTGCCGGCCTCACAAGCAGAAGGACCCGAGTTTGATCCCCAGTACCAAAAAACCCCAAAAAACATCACAGGCCCCATCGGTCCTGCAGAGCCCCCTGCGCCCCACTGAATCCCTTACACTAAGAACCCTTGCACTGGGAGACACAACCATTGGATCTTTTGAGGGTGACATCTCTGCTGAGGTATTGTTTAAGCGTCTCATGGGCAGAAGTGGTATCTACCCTTGTCATTTAGTACAGTAACAGCTGTGGTTTTCATTGTCTGCTAGTGGTGATAAAGATGTTTAATAGATATTTCCCCCCTCCTCAAATGACCAATAGCAAAGTCAGTTTTATTTGGAACTTACACCAGTAGTTGTAACCAGTAGTTTGAACCTCCTCCCCTACTTCTCTCCCTCTTGACCTCTTCTCCCACACCCTAGAAAGACTTAGAACATGATTTGTTTTGCTAAGACATAGTGTTTGCTTAAAAACCTTGTTCTTTCTGGTGTCCTAGGTCTCAGAACAAGGTTTAATAGAAATCCTTGAAAAAGTAAGCCAACAAACAGAAAAGAAAACAACAGTTAAAGTAAGTTTCCCCAAATGCATGTGGCAAAAGAAAAGGTTGCTATTTTAAATGTTAAGTGTTGACTGTACATCTGCGGCTGTGTGTCAGGGCAGCTCCCAGGCGAGTTTCATGCTGTAACACATAGAAGTTTGGGAAGGAAGGCTGAATCCAGTGAGGGGGTATAATAAAGTTTTTGCCCTCCAGCTGTTCTCCACTTTGCTCACTAAGTTGTTCAAAAAACAGTCTTGCTTAAGTACATAAAAATTTTCAGAAAATCTGAGTTTGCATTATTAAACATGTGGTGACACTCATTTATTTCCCCCCTAGTTCAACAGAAGAAAAGTAATGGACTCTGATGAAGATGATGATTACTGAACTAAAAATGTTTAGAGACTGACACTTAATGGAACAGTTTTAGGGCAGAAGTTAAAATCTGTTTAAATGTTTACTTTGTTTTGTCTATATGCCTTTAAAAAAATAAACTTGTTATGCAAAATAAAGTTGTTTTAGTATCACAGCCAAGTGACCAGAAGATTTGCTTTTAAAATTGTTTTCCCACTGGGGATTTAGCTCAGTGACACTGCGCCTGCCTCACAAGCGCAAGGTCCTGAGATCGATCCCTGGTACAAAAAAAAAAAAAATTGTTTTCCCTTTCTACCAATAACTTTTAAACATGTAGCAGTCTGAATACATATGTCCTTTGCAAGTGTGATATTTTACTAGGTAGGGGAAAACATCATAAAGAAAAATAGAAGCTTTCGTATATAATGGAAGAAAATTCCTAGCTTTGGTTTCTCCCATAATCTGTTTTTGAAAGGTACTGAGATTAGGTTATCTAGTAAGTTATCACTCCCATCCAAAATAACTAGTGTGATATTTCTGTTGATAAAATCAAAACAACAAGGAGATACTGGCAGTAGTATTCAGTGGTAAACATGTTTGTGAGAGAAGTGGCTTCTAATGATTACAATCCAGCTTGTGACAGTTTAGCAGTTACATATTTTGGTAGAAAAGTTCTGGGTTCTTCAGTGATGGAGATGCAGGAGACTTCCGGCAAAAGTCATCTCATATTGGGCTTTCCTTCCACCAGGTTATGAAAACCTTTGCTCACACATTTAAATCATAAACAAGTACCAACTAAGTGGTCTGTTGTTAAAACTTTTAAATGTTTTAGTCCTGTGAAACTCAGCCCAGGAGCAATTCCGTAACAGTAAGATAAATAGGCTTAGTATAGCAGAAAAGCGATGGGCATGTGGTTTATAATTCTAATCTCTGCTTTGGTCAGCACAGCTGACATTTGTTTAAAACTATTTGAGATTTTACTGTACTTGAAATTTGTCAGCACAGTCAGTGAAGGAAGTCAGTGGAGGGGGTGGGAGTGCTGTGCAGCCCAGTGGCGGTGCCTTTGCTTCGCATGTGGGAGGCTCTGGGTTCCACCCAGCACTGCAGTGTCACTTTTAGAGCAAGCGCCTCAACATCCCCCAATAAACCAGTGAATGAGTATAACCATTAAGAACAGCAGTTTCTTTTTTAAGAAACAAGATTGTCATAGAATAAAATTTGTTCAGGGATTTTGAAAAAATCCCAGTTACAGGTAAATTTTGCTTTTGGCTTTATTTACATAAAAATGCTAGGACAGTAGACAATTCTCAGCAGGTTTTCTTGCATGGTTTTTCTTGGCAACTTAGCAAGACTTGCCTCAAAAATTTTTAGAAAGGGCTGGGAATGTAGCTTAGTTGTAGAATGGTTGCCTAGCATGTGTGAGACCCTAAGTTCAAACAACATACTGGAAAGAGGAAAAACCAAAAACTATTCCAATGCCAGCTACTAACATATTTCAGTATTATCAGACTTTTCTTTGAAAGGTACTTGAGAATGAAAAGTGGTTGTATATACAAGGACAGAGGTTTCTGAAGGCTACAAAGGGTGGAGGACATCTCAGTTAGGGAATCTCCAGGGATGGTAATTCCAGAGTTTCTAATTCAGTGGCTGGCAATACTTTGAATTCAAACTCATTTTTTATATAATAATAGAAATTTTGGTATCACCAATTTTTGAACTATTGAATCAAGTTTGGTTTTTCTTTCATGTAGGGAAAGCAACTGAAAAACACATTAAGTAGTTTAAAAAACAGTCGAGATAGTCCCTTGAGATCCCTTCACTACAGTTAGCAGAGTAGCTCAAGAGGAAGCTTTCCCCAAAGATGGGCAGTCCCCTTGTGCACAGCACACCAGGCTTGAAAGTGCCAGTTCAGTGCCACTGCCAAGCAGGCCTTGACCTTGGTTCTGAGATCTCAAGAAAATAAGTCCTTTAATTTGCAGAACCTGTTTCCTCATGAGGCAGTTCTCTCCAGTGTGATGGGGACACATTGACAGTATTTTCAAAATTATATTGGCCCAGCCAAATAGTTAGGTAACATCAAATGTTTCTATTTCCATCTTAAGAATATCTATCCTGAAAAACTATATAGGACATAGTTCCTTAGTTAAGATGCTACAGAATTCAGCAACTTAAGTCAGTAAGTTTATTTTATTTAAAAGCAGGAAAAGAGCCCAGTGTGGTGGTGCATACCTGTAAACTCAGCACTCTGGGAGGCTGAGGCAGGAGGATTGAAAGTTCAAGCCCAGCCTGGCAACTTAGTTACTTAAGAGGACCTTGTGTTAAAATTTTTAAAATGGGCTGGAGATGTAGCTCAGTACAAAGGCCCTGGATTCAATACCTAGTACTGCAAATTAATAAAATGAGAAAAAGGAAAAAGAAATTAGAACAAAGAAAAAAGAAATTAGCAAAGCAACAGTGCTTATTTTCTGGTTGTGCTAAGAAGCTGTATTATAGTTACCCTTATAGTTTTAAAGTAAAACCTCTTTGTGGAGCCCTCAAATAATTTTGTGCCCTCAGCACTATAAATAAAGCCAAAAGGAAAATTTACCTGTAATTGGGATTTTTTTCAAAATCCCTGAACAAATTTTATTCTGTAACAGTCTTGCTTCTTAAAAACAATTGTTCTTGGTGGTTAAACTCATTTATTGTTTATTCACCTACAGTGATCCCGTGTGGTTAGGTTGTTGGGAGAGGGTCTGCTGAGTGGTGAGTGCAGTGATCTTCACACACCATACCTGGGAAGTATGACACCCATCCACCCACTAGGGACTGTTTTCCACACCCAAAGCAGTTCACAGCAGACAGAAGCCTATCTCCATAAGAAAACATTAAAGCAAACCACGACACAGTCAGGAATCATAAAGTTTACTGTTTCGTTTCCATCGTTTGGCACATACCCAAGGCACATTAGAAAATTAGAAATCATAAATTATCTTGTAGAAAAATAACCGGTCCCTGCCTTCTATACGTACACAAGTATTTCCAAGAATGTGCACAAAACCATTTCCCTATTACAAAGTTATTTGAAAATGTACCAAGGACAAACCCATGTTTGTAGCTGTAGGCCAAAAACATAAAAAAATAACAGTATAATCTATAGAAATTTATAAAAAGTAATACATGGCAATAAATTCTAACTTAAACATTGACCTGGTTTGTGCTGTAAGTTTTGAATTTGAATCAAAAGACTTAAGGAAAGATGTGCCAAATCTACCCTCTAGTAACCATCCATTCATTAGGTGTGACCTTTAAAAGGTTATTAAATTTTATTTTTTTGGTGGTGCAAGGGATTGAACCCAGGGCCTCGCTCGTCCTAGGCAAGTACCTTGCTGCTGACTGCTGTCCTCTGCCCTTAAGGGAGGAGGTCCTTAACGGAAAGGTATATTTCTGGGAACACTGCTATACGTGCATACATGCAGTGGCCAATGTCTGCTGGAAGAGAACAGCTCTTATGTGTGCTAAGATGAACGTCAGAATGGTTCCAATGCTGCTTTGCAAAGGAACATTTTCCGGGTTCCACTTATTCATTTCGATGTGACATTTCTGCCTGGCCTCCATGGTACCATGAAACCTAAGTTTCTTCTCTTTGGCTTATCCCAGATGAAGGGATTCTCTTTGCATATGCTTTGCTAATTTATCACAGAGATGAGCACCTTGGGGTAGGAGGACGGAATCTGACAGTGAACCCTCTACCTGCAGCCAGGAAATTCGAATACTTAGAGACACACCTCAGATGTAGGAGCTGGACACTTACCAAATTTCTCTCCATTCCTTTTCAAGTGTATTCATTAGCTTTGAAGAGGAGAGAGATGGTGAAACGTTTTTGTTGCACTCATTCTTTTAGCCACGGAAAAGCTTCTGGGGACCTTCTGAAGACAGCCTGTCAAGTCAGTTATTTCAAATATACTTAGGTGTAAGCTGTATTCATGCTGAGTGTCATCTCGCATGCTCACTTGCTGGCAGCAAATTTAACCCCATTACTGTTGAGGCTGGGAGATAGTGGCCTCCTGGGAGGGGGTTGGGCTACCAGCAGTCTCTGGGTCCTTGGGGACAACCACGACATCAACCGTATGCCTGCGGAGCATTCGCCGGTTCCTGGGAACCAACTGCTTCCGTTCGGGCCTCTCCTCAGGCAGGTCATCACTTCCCTCATCAGCCGTCTGCAGTCTGCTCTGCTCTGGCAGGCAACTGGTTCTGTGTGCCTCTTTGCCTCTCTGGCTAAAGAGAAGGTACAGTTCAGTTTATGTCTGCGTGATGCTGTAAACACGATGTCCACAGCAGCCACCTTCGAGTGTTACTATGTCGGGCCATGGGCTCAGCACTCTACAGGAATGATGCCGATCCCAGCATCCGTGCGCTGTGGTGTGACTGTGTGGTTAGTGCCTTTTATGTTTTCATGTTTTTATAGCTCTTCAGATTATTCTCCTCACTATAACATTTAGCAGCAATTAAAACTGCAGTTCTTTTTTTTTTTTTTTTTTGGCAGTGCTAGGGATGGAACCCAGGGCCTTTCTTACATCAGGCAAGTGCTTTACTGCTGAGCTACACCCCCAGCCCTTAGTGGGACAGACAGCCCACAGTACACACTTCGTTGATGTATTTAAATACATTTCCAAGTGGAGAAAGGAAAGTGAGGGCAAAATGGAAAGTCGCATGCATGGGAAGCTGTGTTTTTCAGTGTGTACACTCAGTGAAATATCTCAAATTTCTGTTGTTTTAATCATGAAAGGAAGAACAACAGTTTGTACATGGGTGGGTAAACAATATCTAAATATGGTATAAAATTGTTTATCTACACTATTCTTTATGTGGCCATCTCCCTACTACATTAGTTAGTTATGAAAAGAATCCTGATTCACAGTCTACTACTGAAAGTAATTCATCTCTGAAAAATGCCATTCAGAGAGACCACCATGGCCTATGTGGCTGGGCTTATTGGAACAAATACTGTACCTAACATTTTAAACTACACTTAGTTTCAAAGTGATTTCTTGTTGGTGCATGTCTGTAATCCCAGCACTTGGCAGGCTGATGCAGGAGGATTCCTTTGAGTTTGAAGCCAACTTGGGTTACACAGTTTAAGGCCAGTCTGAACCACATGGTGAGACCCTTAAAATGTGATTTCTATTAAAGTGACTAATTTTGATATCATATTTAATATCTCATGGCTTTGGTTGGAGACCTACTCCTTAGCAGGAAACCCCATTAATGAAGAAGACTACCAAGAAAAAAATGTGTTTACCAAGGATTACTTTTAAAAAAGGCAGGCTTTTAAAAGTATGACTATAAGCCAGGGTTTAAAAACTCACCTCATGCAAACAACCTTCTGTAAAATTAGGGACACTTCTATCTCTTGCTGTAATCTCCCTTGAAGTCCTTCCCCTGAAACCCAAAAGAAACGAAATATTAACCCCAAATAAGTATTTGGGATATTGGGTTGAAACTGGTTGGTCACAAGGTGGCAGCACTGGATGACAGTCATACTGTAGATTAAAAGCTGTACATGTGCATCTTCTGTTTCAAGTAAACTGCAGGGTCAGAAGCACAAAAATCAACTTGAATTTTATACTCACTTAAATGGACCAACTGAGGGAACAAAGTAAAACTGTCTTGTAAAAGGCTCATCTGGTAGATCACACATTTTTGAGTTCCCTGTAAATGAAAGGATAAATATTTGAAATCTTAAAATGGATTAGATTGTTTTAAAATTGAAGCATAGAAACAAGCTTCCAATTTTCTTTAAACAAAATATAGAAAATTAGGCATTAAAGTTGCTTAAAGAAACACAGCAGATACCTATTTATTATGTGAGTCCCTGCAAGACAAAACAATAAATCCTTAATACACTGATACTCAGCCAATTATGGTACAGCAGCCTCAGGATCATCCAGATACATGAGTGGGTTATGTACAGTACTGCAATGCAATTATGAACTGCATAATGTTATTTTACAAGACAGGAGAACAAGGACCTTTTTTTAACTTTCAGAAAAGAAAATACTTCCGACTCGCAGCTATTTGGCTACTGCTGTTCTAATTACCATCAACCTGCATCACCTGCTGGGGCATGGATGTAACCCAGCAGTAGAGCAAGCACTTGCCTAGCTTGTGCCAGGCCCTGGGTTCAATCCCCAGCACTACCAAAACCCAAACAAGCAAAAAACGTTAAAGGTAACATTACCCCAGAGTCCAAGAAATATACACAACACCTGGCTTTGGCACATGAGGTCTGGAGTCTACCAGAGGTCTCTCTTCCTTGCCATTTGGTAAGTGGAGGCCTAAATCTTCAGGTAAGCTGAGAGTATCTACTTATTTCCTCAGGAAACATCCTAACAATCAGCCAGAAGATTAATTTAAAAACTTTCCCCTCACCTGAAGAAATCAGAATGTGACAGACATTTCTGTGGTTCCTGTATGCCTCCCAGACGTAACTACAATTACATTTCACATTCAAAATTAAAACCAGTAGCTATCCGTGAATTTCCAAACAAACCCAAGTGAAGATTGTACATGCTTACACTTTTTCCTGATCTTGACAGTCACGTACTCCTTGTGCTCTGTTTCAGCAGCATCATCTAATGAGGCAACACAACTTGGTACTACTTCAAGTAACTCCATTATTTTTGAATTCTACAATTTAAAAGGGAAAATGTAACACAATTTTTAATTTTTTCATAGCAAATTATTACTTGTCTGTGTCGGTATTGGTGTGGATGGAACAAAAAAATGCTCAGAAGCAACTATGAACAAAGTTTTGAGGCCATAAAGCCCACTGGTAGAAGCAACCCTGTATTTACAGCCCAGCTGTGCCCTCTTTGGGGTACTCAGGGCTGTGGGTGTAACTGCTCCATGTAGTTGGGCTGGCAATAGTAGGACCGCCACATAGTAAGTACTCAACAAAACACAGTCATCATTTGAAAAAGTCTTCAAACTAAAATATTTCAATTCCGTTAAGAAAGGTCACTGAAAATTAAAAATCAGGAGGCCTATGGTTAAGCTGGATTTATGGTGACTTCAATATCCCATTTGGGTCGTTCAATACCCTTAACTAGCTGTCCATTCTGAGTGGAAAACTAGATAAAGGTTCACCAAGAAGACAAGAAAAAGAGGTACCTTGTCCCAAGAGACGAGGCTGTCTCCCCTTTGGCCCTGACAAACACCCACTGCACTGGAGAGAGTTAAACTGCAATCATGCCTCTCCTCGCAGAACTTCAGGAACTGGAAATCCACAAATGCATTGAGCTACAGGGACTGGCAGAACCAGAGGAGTCGTAACTCCCTACTCCCCTTGAGCGCCGTGTGCAGTGAGGGTGCCACACGAGGGCACCTACTGGGGGCCGGGATGGGGACACCTGCAGCCAGGCTTTGGAAGGTTACCCCAGAAAGGATGGTTCCTGGCTGCCTGGGCTGCCGCCCACCCTGACAGGTAACCAGGAGCAGGTGTCCGGCACACTAACAGCCAGGCACTGAGTTCCAAAGGTGTCGGTGGCTGTGGCCATGGAGAATCTTGTTCCAAAACTGGGCTGCAGGGGAGCTTGGGACCCCAGATCTCTGGCTGTCCCTGCTCACCTGTTCTGCGCAGTCCATAGCTGTGCGCTGCCGCTTGTTCAGGATGTGCACCGATGCCCCGTGAAGCAGAAGCAGCTCCACCACGAAGATATGCTTTTCTATCACGGCTTCATGCAGGGCTGTGTTGCCCATATTGTTAGAAGCATTAATGGAGGCACCATGCTAGAAAGGGAAACCACACAGTCAAAAGGGATGTGAAAAAATGCTAATCAGAATCTAGGTGGTGGATGTATGGATATTTACAATAAAATTCTTTCAACTTTTCCATATCTCTGAAATTTTCTGAAAATCTTGGTGGTGAAAGTAACACTGAGAAAAAAGATTGATGAGACAAGGATGTTTACTGCAGCATTTATCATTATAGCAGAAAAAACAGAAACCACTTAAATGTACAGATCAGTAACAGTTCAGAAAAAGTGGCCTCTAATCCCAGATACAGGGGACGCTGAGGTAGGAGGATCATAAAGTCAAGTGTAGCCCAGACAACTTAGCAAGACCCTGTCTCAGAAAAATTTTAAAAGGGTGTGGGGATACAGCTCAATGATAGAATGCCCCTGGTTCAATCCCCAGTATCACCACAAACTTTTTTAAGAATATCCAGACTTACTTGACCATTAAAAATCAAGACTTTAGGGCCGGGGATTTAGCTCAGTGGTTCCAGTGCCTGCCTTGCAAGTGCAAGGTCTGGAGTTCAATGCCCAATACCAAAAAAAAAAAAAAAA